AACATAAAGAAGCAGGAGGTAAAAATAATTATGGGCGACTTTACTGCTTATGTCGCTCGAGGAAAAACTGGTAATATTGTAGGAAATTTCGGGTTAGGCGAAAGAAACGAAAAAAGTGATAGACTAGCCCAGTACGGCCAGGAGAAAGAATTAACATAATTATAACAAATACATACTACGACTTACCCTCACGAAAATGATATTTCTCCAAAAGATAACACCGACAATATAATCATAAACCAAATAGATTTTATAACGAATAACAAAAGGTTTCGTAATGGAGTACAAAGTGCAAAAACCTATCTAAACTAAAAGACGACAACTGCCAACAACAACTAAACTCAGAGATAAATAAATTATCTGAAGGTAGCGTGAAATGAGCAGATAGGAAAAAAGACACACTAAAAGTGGGTATAGTGAAGCTATCTGTGAACAAGCACTCGAGGAAGAAGATCTTGGTCTGATAATAAATGGTGAGACGATCAACAATATAAGGTATGCTGACGATACAGTTCTCCTAACGGGAACGCTAGTAGAACTACAACATCTCGTTCAAAGTCTCAATATATACTGTAACAGTTACGGCTTGAAAATTAATTTGAAAAAAACTAAATTTATGGTAATCACGAAATCAAAGAACATCAGAGCTAATCTTGTAATAGACAATACAACGATTGAGCGTGTGCCCTGTTATAAATATCTAGGTGCTTGGATCACAGACGATACTGATCAAACAAAAGAGATTAGATGTAGAATAGAAATCGCTAGATCAGTCTTTAATAGAATGCGCAAACTCTTTTGCAATCGTGATATCAATATAAAGTTACGAATACGAATGCTGCGGTGTTATGTCTTTTCTACCCTGTTATATGGAGTTGAGGCTTGGACACTAAAACAGTTGACCATAAAAAACATCGAAGCTTTCGAGATGTGGTGCTATAGGCGCATTCTCAGAATATCATGGATGGACCGCGTCACTAACACGCAAGTACTCCAAACTTTAGACAAAAGATGCGAAATTCTAAATGAGATAAAAACTAGAAAGATGGAATACTTGGGGCACATTGTGAGAGGTAAAAGTACGAACTTTTAAGAAACATCATGCAGGGCAAAATTAAGGGCAAAAGAAGTGTGGGAAGAAGAAAAATATCGTGGCTTCGTAATCTACGTGAATGGTTCGGGTGTAGTTCGATTGAACTTTTCAGGCGCGCTGCTAACAAAGTCGCAGTGGCCATGATGATTTCCAATCTCCGCTAGGAGTGGCACGAGAAGAAGAAGAAAAGTGGGTATAGAGGTCATAGGCAAAGAAGAGAAAATCACTAAAAGAGAATGGATGACACCGGAAATATTTGAGCTAATAACTGAAAAAAGAAAATACAAAAATTAAGATGGAAATAAATATAAAACCACCAAGAATAAAATCAAATATGAAATTAAAAAGACTAAGGAGGAATGGATAAACAAGGAATGTCAGAAACTGGAAGAACTCAGCAACAAACATGACAC